AAAGAATTAGCCTGCAATGTGGGAGACCTGGGTTCGATCCCTGGGTTGGGAAGATCTCCTGGAGAAGGGAAAGGCAGTGTTCTGGCCTGGAGAATTCCATGGCCTGTATAGTCAGTCCATGGGATTGCAAAGAGTCAGACACGACTGAGCGACTTTCACTTTTCATGCTTTTCACTAGCTGTGGAGCTAAGGTGAATTACTTCATCTTTCTAAGGAGCTTCAAACTCCTCACCAATAAAAGGGATGATAATTATCTCTTCGAAACAGCATTGTTATGTGGGTAAATATTGTTACACAAAAGCCTTTTGCAAGCTGTAGTGTATAAAAACATGGTCTTTTCTGGTTATCATTTGCACTTTGGTGCCTTGCCCATGGGTCTGTTACTGGTGGTCTTCTCTTGCCCATCAGAACCCTTCCACCAGTCCCATTTTGTGCCTAGCACCAAATCGCTCTCTATGATAACTCAAACCATGAGGAGTGATTTGCTTTGGGGCTGGGCTGCCCTTTATCTTATAGCCTGGAGCCCTAGCCTAAAAATAATACACTCCTGTTTCTGTTCCCTCGCTTCTTAGGTAACAAACTCTCAAATACCGACTGGCTTTCAGGTAAAGAATCCACAGAGCCAACATGCCTTGACTCTTTAGAAACAAGCCGATAGAATTCTGTGTATTTTCATACTTAAAAAACTTATGTTGCAATCAGTGAACGGTGGGGTTAAAAGGACCTTAAAGATTATCTTGTCCAACTCACTCATTTTTCAGTTGAAGAAACTGAATAACAGAGGAGGAAAGGATCTTGGCCAACATCACAGATTTAACTAGAAACAGAGCGAGGATAAATACTCCCCATTATGTCATGGAAGCTTCAGGGAACATGTTAAGCTTTACTATCCTTTTTACCCTTCCTTTCATCCCAATCTCATAATGAAAGAGACTACTTGGCCCACATCATTGCAACTCCAGTATGGTTGTTGCTGTTCAGTGGCTAAGTCATGTCCAGCTCTTTCAGACCCCGTGAACTGCAGCTCACCAGGCTTCCCTGTCCTCACTATCTCCTGGAGTTTGCTCAAACTAATGCCCATTGAGTTGGTGATGATATCTAACCATCTCATCCTTTGCCATCCCGTTCTCCTTTTGCCTTCAGTCTTTCCCAGCATCAGGATCTTTTCCAGTGAGTCAGCTCTTTGCATCAGGTGACCAAAGTATCAGAGCTTCAGCTTCAGCATCAGTCCTTCCAATGAATATTCAGGATTGATTTCCTCTATGAATGACTGGTTGGATCTCCTTGCAGTCCAAGGGACTCTCAAGAGTCTTCTCCAGCACCGCAGTCCAAAGCATCAATTCTTTGGCGCTCAGCCTTGTTTATGGTCCATCCATGAACATGACTACTCACCTCCAAACATGACTACTGGAAAAACTGTGTAACGAAGCACCACCTTTGTACCGAATACTGAGGATGCTAAGACAAAGGCACAGGCCCTGCCTTCAAGCAATGTAGAATGTAGTGATGAAGACAGACAAGGAAACAATCTCTTAGAAGGGCAGGCTGTTTTCTATACAGTTAAATGAAATATTCCTCCCATCTGCCATCTGCACCCTATGTTTATACTTATGGTTGCACTAACTTTCCTCATGTATAGATTATTATGAGGCTGATTTTCCCAGAAAGAAACATACCAAATCCCATAACTTAATGAAGACCAGTGACCAGCTCCTTTAAAGTGGCTCATGTATCCTTCATTCACTCCCTCAAAAAATATTTGTTGAGCATCTAGTGTGAGCTTCAGTTCAGTTCAGTTCAATTCAGTCGCTCAGTCGTGTCCGACTCTTTGCGACCCCATGAATCGTAGCACACCAGGCCTCCCTGTCCATCACCAACTCCCGGAGTTTACTCAAACTCATGCCCATTGAGTTGGAGATGCCGTCCAGCCATCTCATCCTCTGTCGTCCCTAGTATGAGGTACCAGGCTGCAAAGATTAAATAAAAAAGCAGTCCTCTCAAGCAACTAACAGTCCAGTAGAGAAATAATGATCTTGGAAGCTTTTGTAAGGGAAGGGAGATGCCTAGGACAAAGGAAAGTCCTTTGGAAAGCCTTCGAAAGTCCACAAAGATTTCACAGACGAGGTGGTATGTGAAACTGAGTACTTAAAGAAGTATGCTGAGCAGACAAAAGAGGATGATATTCCAGGAAAAGAAACAGCACATGCCAAGCATGAATGTGTAGAAGCATGCAAGTCCTGGGACCTGTAACAGTTGATTATTGCTGGCATGTGAAATGAAAAGACAGGATGGCAGAAAATGAGTTTATGAATAGGCAGGATTGTGCCATGCTAGCAAGCTGGGGCTACATCCTGTAGACAATGGAGGGCTGCTGAGGGCTTTAGGGAGAAGATCAGATGTTGAGGTTTGCATTTCAGAAATGCTGTCAAGCAGCCATGCAGAAGGCAGGCTACAGTCAGAGAACCCAGTGAGAATTGCTAATCCAAACCTGAGAAGGGCATGGTAGGCTGCTCAGATTCAGGCCAGAACTTGATTTTCTATATGATTCACTTATTTCCTGGCACACCTGAGTGATGATGCTGACCATGACCCATAACCAAGTTGCATGAGGTTATGTATTAGAGTCTCCAAAACTGTGATTCATGGCGCTAATGGTGTTCCCCTTGTGTGTAAGAGGCCATCCTCTCCTGGTCAACTGAACAGTTTAAGGCATCACAGTGATCCTTGGAGAATCCAAGTTTCCTTGTTCAAGAGAGAAGCTAACACACTGTTGACCTTCTAAAGGCCCTTGGGAGAGGTTTTTAATAACAGTTAATCCATTTTCCCATCATTCACATAAACTCACTTCTGAGATTGTGGTTTTGGCAAATCTAACAGGCTTTTCAAAACAAGAGCCTGGCAAAGTGATTGCTCTCTCATCCCTTCTTTCAGCGCCAAAAGACACTGATTCAAACCTTCCTGCTTCTGCTCCTGTTCCTTCTCCTGAAATATCTTCCAACCACCTATCTCTCGGTAGTTGGGCACTGATGTCTTCCTTATAGTTCCAGGTTCAAATTCTGGCTCTGGTTATATGACTTGTATAAGAAAGCCACTCTAATCATTTATTCAGTTGTCATGGGGCTAGAGGTCAAGTTTATGAAGTGTTCGGCATACTGTCTACCCCCCAGCCACTGTCAGGGTTCAGTAGCTATTATTATTAGGTGAGATTCTAGTTCAAAAATGACAATTTGTACTTCTCTACTGAAAAGAGCAAAGAGAAGTACTGAAAGGTTGGGTAATACATCTTTTGATTATCAAGAAAACCATGAATTACCGTTTTCTTACCCAGATTAATTAAATCTGACACCTGAGTACCCACTTGATTTCCATATCCAGCTGTGGAATCCCACAGAAACTTATAATTAAGAGACAGTTGCTAATAAGAGACTTGGAACTTGAAATTAAGAGCAAAAATACGTAGAGAAATTTCGGAGGTCATTGTTGCTGATCCTCAGGACCTTTTCTCAAACAGAAGCATTTGAAAGCAAATAGCCATCTTAACAGCATTTTTTTACTGTGTCATATTCTTCCCAAGAGGAAATCTTCTCCTGAAAGCAGCAGAAGTGGTTTGGTTTCATTACAATGAAAGAATTGTGCAGTGTTAGGGCAGGCTACTGACAATGGGTGTGGAATCTGTTTTAGAAGAAGGTAAAATAATAACAACAACGTATGTGGTAAGATTATACCTCTTGGGCTATTGCAAGTGTAGACTTGCTGAAGGCCTGGTAGAGAATTTGTCTCCAACACATAAAAGGTCTAGGTCTGCTTGGGTAAATTCTTCTAAACCTCTATCTCCTCTAACAGGACTTTAAAGATCTTGTGATACCTTTCTTGTTCTGGTGACACCTCGTATTTTCAAGTCTAACTTGATTTTTAAATCACTCTGGTTGATTTGTTTTGTTTTCATTCCTTTTTGTTACAAAACAACAACATTAAAGGGGAAAAGTTTAAATCATCTTTAATTTTCCTTCACTAATTTTGGAATAATTTTTAATCTTTGTTTACCTACTTATTTCTTAATTAGCCATCACAGTAAATCTGAAAGAGTTTTTTTGTTTTTTTAAATGTGTGCTTTATTGGGAAAGAAATTGAAGATAAAGCAGATAACTAATGTTTCTCTAAGCAGCACACAAGATAAATGGCCAAATCAGGGATAACTCTAAATCTATGCTCTGCCTACCTACACGAGAGTGATGTTGGTCACACAACCTGGCATGTGATTGATATATTTTATATTTTACTTTATGCACTATTATTTTTACTTACTAGCAGTAATAATAAAAGAATGAAACTATATCAACTGAAATTCACTAACCAATTTTTTTTTAAAAAGCCACCCAGAGGTTGTCAACACTGAAGGCAATGTTGTAGGAAGTCTCTGAAGATGAGCAGAGAAATAGAGAGTTAATGTGACTAGTAAAAATGAGCTGTTTCCATTTGAAAAAGAAAAAACAGCAGACATTTTAGAATTAGAACAACCACCATTGCTGATCATGTTTTCAAAGCCATTTTTTGATAATTTGCCTATAAAGCTTTCTTATTGTTCTTGTCAATAGCCCCACTTAGTAACCCTGCAAACTAAGGTATCTGGGCAGTATTAGGTATCTGGGCAGTAAATGCTAAGGAATCATAATTCATAAAATGAGATTATAAACAGTTTCCATATACTTTACCTGAATAGCATAAAAGGAGATGATTGGATTTCCTTGTGAGAGTCAATGTGTGTAAAAGACGACACATGATGAAGGAAGATGAAGTCAATAGCCTTTTGAGAAGTCTTTTTCATGCATCTCTTTTCTAGAATATCAAATAGAAGGAAACAGACTTGGGTAGACTGATCAGACACACTGGAGGGACTTCCAACCAAAGGACTGCTCAGAGCTCTAGCTTGGCTCCTAATCAAGCTTGAAATGATCACAGCCACAGCACTAATTGCATTAATTTGCTTTTCTTCAGGCAGAATGGGGAAACAGAATAGCAAACTGGCCCCCGAAGTGATGGAGGACCTGGTGAAGAGCACAGAGTTTAATGAGCATGAACTCAAGCAGTGGTACAAAGGATTTCTCAAGGACTGTCCAAGCGGGAGACTGAATCTCGAGGAATTTCAGCAGCTCTATGTGAAGGTAAGTTGTTTTTCAACCTTCTTAAAAAAATTTTTCAGGCCAGAAAACCTTCTCTTCATCAACTATAGCTTCACATGGAATTATAACTCCAAGTAGCCTATTTGTTTCAACTCTGGTGGTTTTTCACCCCAAAAGAAAAATGCTCATTTTTTAAAAAATGTAAAGGAATGTGTTTTGTTCCAGAGGTAAGTCAAGCAATTTCTGAACCAGAAGAGTAATTGTTCAATCAAAACACCAAACAGAGTTCAGACTTTGACAGCATCTGGTAAAGAAGAGTAAAAATCTCAGATAACAGTGTTTGCTGATGATTATGGACAAGCAGCTAATTGCATTGTTTGGCTTGTTAAAGGTATCTACGCGTTTCTCCAGCTTCCCTGGTAGCTTAGCTGGTAAAGAATCCGCTTGCAATGCAGGAGACCCCGGTTTGATTTCTAGGTTCAGAAGATCCTCTGAAGGAGGGCATGGCAACCCACTCCAGCATGCTTGTCTGGAGGATCCGCATGGACAGAGGAGCCTGAGGGGCTAAGTCCAGGGGGTCGCAAAGAGTCAGACATGACTAAGCAACTAATCCCAACACAGCACACCTCAGTTAAAGAGGAAGTGCATGGGACGGCTTTTGCAACAAAGGTTCCTTTATTTACAGATAAGAAAAATATATAGATCCCCAAAGCTTTGAATTTAAAAGGAAGTAGGGAGTTCTGATGTATATTAAGGTCAGCATGGATGGTCTTCTATCATTTTATCAAGTTCTAAAATATGAATTATTTCCAGCATTTTCTGTTTAGAAGTTAAAATTCCCCTGTTGTTGTTTAGTGACTAAATCAGGTCCAACTCTTTTACAACCCCATGGACTGTAGCCTACCAGGCTCCTCTGTCCTTGGGATTTCCCAGGCAAGAATACTGGAGTGGGTTGCCAATTCCTTCTCTAGCGGGGTCTTCCCAACCCAGGGATCCAACCCTTGTCTCCTGCATTGGCAGGCAGATTCTTTACCACTGAGCCACCACAGAAGCCATGGACAGTAGACAAAACCATTCCATGAAAGGTATTTGTATCGCAGTGATGTTGTTTCGGTTTTTCTGAGTTTATCAGTTGTATTGGTTCTAGATTTGGCATGATCTAAGACATTCCGTTTTATTTATACTTGGATAATTTGAGGCTTGTGGAAAAAACGCATTGTTTTTCTTTTAATTTTTTCTCACTAAAATACCAATATATAATAGTGCTCTTATCATTTAAATGCAGTGAATACCAGTTTGAGCAATATGAACCATCTACATGCATGTATGTGTGTTGGGATGATTATATAAAATATTAAACATTGTCATTCTCTCCTGAAGTTGAACATCTCACGTAGCCTTTGCTCCAGCAATACCATCCTGTGCATATAAAAAAGATATACATAAGAATGCTCATAGCTGCACCGTTCACAAAAGCAAAACCAGGAAACAACCTGAATGCCCATCAAAAGGAGAGTGGAAAATAAACTGTGGTATTCTCACACAGTCACCCAAACAGTTGAACTTCAGCAACACTGAAACATTAAGTGCTGAAAGTCAGTCCCAAAATACTTTAAATTAAACACAGATAAGATAAAAATATATTTTATGGAACTACAAATAAAAGCAATAAAATCACACAAAAAAGAAAGCGAGAGAATGATGAAGACAGGATTAAAACCGAAGGTTGCCTCCCATGCATAAGAGGCAAGGGGTGAGATGGAAGTTTAGCCATGTGATTAGATACAGATTGTGTCAGAGTCTTAGCCACAGCTTTGGGGGCTGGGTTTGCAGGTGCTTATTAAATTATTAATTTTATTAATGCAATAAGCACGGACCACTAGTGAATGTCAAGAATCCATGAGTATCATGAATCCAGTGCTGACCCCCTGAGAGCGCGAGGTATCTATAAAATTCTCTCTTTGCATGTGTGTAGAAAGGACAAAAAGTGGCAGGTGTGCATGTTATAAGATCACTGTGACATTTCTAAGATGATCTGAGCCATTGGTTTTAGCGTGTAGAGATCTTCTATATGGAAGCACTGAGAAATGCATTTATCATTGACATAAGTAGACATAAATTGCTTTTGCACAGAAATGGGATGGTCATTTTCCTAAATTTTTATCCCACTCTCCATAGCTTTCAAAGTCACATCTTCTATCGTTTTATTACAACAGTGAGCCTGTGCCTCCACATTGTCTTCCCTCAGCCCCAAGGAAAGTACAAATAAATGAGATTTGTCAAAGCCACTTTCCTACCAGGAAAGGTCATGCAGTCTGTCACTCTGTGTTTAAGAGAGCTCTGTGCACCTCGCTTCTCACTATTTGTTTACAGGGAGAGCAATTTTGCTTTTGAAGAAATAGTTCAAATGCAGGAAATGAAGTATTTTATTTACATGCTGGAGGGACTCCACACTGAAAATAAAATCCACCTCAAGATAAGGGAGGAGCATGTTAAACATCAAACATCCCTCAGCATTTTATGGATGTATATGGACCAACATCAGCCCCCGTTTCTACCTCCCCCAGTCCACCCCAGAGTAGACTTTTTTCCAAGAAGGTTAAGTTTTATCCTGGTAGATGGAGTTTAGATTCTTGGCAGATTCTTAACAACCGTATTTAAACTCAGCCGCTGCTCTGGTTATCAAATAGTCAGAAAGTAGGCAAAGTCCTCCTCTCCTTTGAGAGTTGTCCAAGGACAAAATACAAAAAAAGAATCACAGAGGAAATATGTCACTTCTTTCTACAGGGAAAAAGAAGAAAAGAAAGAAAGACAGGTCTGATAGGTTAGAAAGGAGAATAACAGAGAAAGATGTGGTTTATGTAATGAAGGCCCAGGAGAAGGGCTGGGAAGAAAACTCTTCCCTTAATACTGCTTAAAAGTACAAATGTTCACCAAGGCAGTCTTTATCTTGGTCAATAGGCATTTTTCACTAGTTGCTTCTGTCTTCAGCTGAATCCTGGAATCCAGCTGAATGAAAAAAGCCGCCGGTGGCCTCTGCCCTCTATCTGTGAGGTCGGCCTGGCACATTTAATGTTGCTGACCTGACCCCTTTTAGGCTTCAGGAGAGTCACCTCACTGTTGTAGCGTCAGCTGTGATGAGAGCATGGGGTGGAGCAGGGTAACCAGAGAGGCACCCCCACCCGCCCCCTGCAAGGCCAGGAACCACAAACCCTGAACTTCAAAAGACTTTGTATGCAAATATAAAGAAATTCCATCCAGTCTCTCTTTAGAACTGTCCAAAACTGAAGTTCAGAAAAAGTAGATAGTTTTCCCAGTGTCAGAAGAAGAGTGACTATCAGGACGGACGTTAAAGATGGGCACCCTGACTTGCCCAGCTGCACATGGCCCTGCCTGTCCCCTGGATTCTCTTGGCAGCCTCTCATCACCCCTCCTCCAAGTCCCTCCACTGTACAAACTGCTGGAATGGAATGTGAAAAACACAGGGCTGGGCATGGTCCTTCCTGGTTTGTGGCTCATGTTAACTGAACCAGGCTCATTTGCCTGACACATGGCAAGCCAAACGCTGAGATGCTGAGGTTTGTGGCAGGGAAAGAGCTGACTCAAGACAGCTAACCAAGGAGCTGATTCACAAAACAGCCAAGCAAGGAGACAGGAGAAGGAATCTCAGATCCACTTCCTTGAAGGAAAAGGGTGTGAGATATTTATATATAAAGAAGCGAGGTTGTCTGAGACCTGGGGCAAGGTGATGGGAGGTAGAGAAAAGGTGAGTTATCAGCATTCGTGCAGGTGTCTGGGTTACATGCTTCTTCATGGGATGCATGTTCAAAAATGGAGGTGCTTTAGCAAGACCTGTGGGTGGAGAGTTTGGCCTTCTGACATCAAAAAGTCACTCATCAGACAACTATGCAGGCCCAGTTTTAGGGTCAGTGGTCCCTACCTGCTTTCCTCAGCCTGACTAGACAGGAATTGATGCCAGGTTTCTGGAAAACAGCTTAAGTGCCCATTGTTGGGCCCATACATCAGAGGAGTTATCTATAGGAGTGGTTAAGTAGTGTTGTGATATATTACCTCGCTATGTGAAACTTGGAGGGTATGCAATTAAAGAAAAAAAAAAACACTAAAGCAAGCTTAATCAGTAAAGGCAGGTTACAAGCAGGGTTGTTGTTGTTGTTGTTGTTTAACAATCTGTTCCCTTATCTGCTGTTCTGTAGAAGTCAAGGATTTCTGTTAACCCTATGGGGCACAGTTTTGCAGGATTCATTCATCAGTTCTGTAGAGCAGGAGACCCCAATCTCTAGGATTTAATGCCTGATGATCTGCAGTGGAGCTGATGTAACAATAATAGAAAGTATTGATAATAGAAATAAAGTGTGCAATAAATGTAATGCACTGAATTAGTCCTGAAATAATCCCCACCCCACCTCCTCCCCAGTCCACAGAAGAATTGTCTTCCACAAAAACTGTCACTGGTGCCAAAAAAGTCGGGGACCACTATTATAGGGGACAGTCAGCTCACTTCCATTAACATAAGACCTGGTGGCTAGCACAGGGCCTGCCAAAGAGCAAGCATCAGTGTTTGGTGCATGACCTGTAAATAATAAACGTTGACTGTGTATCTCCTTTTCAGGAAGCCCTGTGGTAGAGGCATAGAGAAGTGGCTAAAGGATAGTCCTGCCTGCTCCGCAGGAACTCAGAAGCTAATTGTAGAGACACAGTTAACCACAAGCCAAGGAAGAATGACACTGATGCATGTTGTTGGGGCATGAGCGGAAGGGAGATGTAATTTCATGATGGCATGTTAAAGTAAGAAGTTAATTAATGCAGTGCAAATAGCTTTATCTGTACCATTTTTCTTGATTCCACTTCTTCAGTCACTAAGTCATCTCTTTGCGACGCCCTATATAGCACGCCAGGCTCCTCTATCCTCCAACATCTCCCAGAGTTTGCTCAAAATTCATGTCCGTTGAGTTGGTGATGCTGTCTAACCATCTCGTCCTCTGTTGTCTCCTTCTCCTCCTACCCTCAATCTTTCCCAGCAT